TATATATATATATATATATATATATATATATATATATATATGCAGCTGGGACACGATTCAGCGATTAGATGAAGGTTCCCCCTAACAGAACCCTACATCTACCCCACTGCCTCTCGGGTCAAACTTTTGAGTCTAAGGCTCATAGTGCAGTACCTCAACAAACCTCCCTTCGGCCTGTGAATCTCTGATCTATCATTCACCCTAACAGCTCCTTATTCGACGTTCCTTCTCACATGTCCATCAACCAAGTCTTTCCGATTCATTTAGCTGTATTTAGACTTCTGTCCGTAAAACGAACCAAAGCAAGTCCTTTTTAAGTTCATGAAACCTGTTTCAGGTGTTCTTTTTCGCTTTCCTCCCGGAACACTCCGGTTACTGCAAGGCCATTCAGTCGATCACCTGCAAAATCCCTGTGGCCCAGCGTTATCGAGACAAGTTGGCTGAAAAACATCCTTAACGTAGCAGGTACAATGATACTGATTACTAGTTGAATAACTGTTTTTAAAAAAGTGAAGGGAGCCATGCCCACAGTTTTTGAACCGTCTGCCCGAGGTACAGATATCTTCGTGATCAGCAGCTCATTAATTTTAGGAAGAATATATACCGACAACAAACGACTTTGATGACACGCGCAAACGCCTCAGATCCTGGGTACTGAAGAGTCTAAAGATTGACAGAGAGAACTGGTGGATAGCAAAAGTCTCCAAAAAAGCAGAAAGCTTTTGTTGCGCGAAAGAGTCGAACTATCCGAATTAACCTGGTCAAATGGTCCGTGAAAGGTAGGTGCTAGTGAAACGTCATTCGAAAACGATGGGACCCCAATCTATTCACAAAAATATTGCCTTGAACGATGAACTGAAAACTTTGGCTTCATCATCTCAACCTCTGGAAGAACTGTTTGTATCCTAATGCAGCGTTGACACCAGCCCCCCCCCCATCAATGGTGTGCAATTCTGTAGCTTCAGTCCAACAAACCGTTTGTTGCAGATGGTTTGCTCTCTGCACTCTTCAAAAAAGCTGGCGAGTTCCTGTGGCTAACCTGGCGAATTCACTGTAGGACAAAGAGAGAATACTGGTAGAATGCAGCGACTCGACGGTGATTTCCATATTCTAGAGGAGAAAACGTGGCTACAGCCTCCTGCCATTCACAATAAACTTTTCTGCCTACCACTGGAACCTCGTGTATCCGAATGCCCCCGGGGGCGTTGGCTGACAGACAGGGTATGCTGACGATATCTGATCATACACACTTAAAATGCAGGCTATTTTAAATGTTCAATCGTTTTACACTTGCAGTGTCATCACAATTCTGGATGCAGATGTGGTAGGTAAGTGCATTCATCTCGGCAACTACATAAGTCCTGGTAGACTGGCAAAAGCTGAGATCACCCCCGAACTTAGAACGCCAGGGCAGTGCTCACCAACCTCCGACATTTGTGAAGTGGCGTCAGTTGGACTGTCAAGGGTAAATTGGTGCAGTGGCGATTCTAAATCAAAGCTGCTGCCTTCACTACGTACTTCTCCCACTCTCTACCGGACCATCACCACCTACGCGTGGCTCTCACTCCTTTATTCACCTTATCCTCGATAAACGAAACTGCAGCAGTTTGAATCACTAATTCGGTAAGCGGTTTGCTGATAAAAAAACACTAAACGGTATGCGCGTATCCGGGCAGGAGCGGGCCGGCATTTGGTGCCACTCGAGGGCCCTCAGCTGAAACTCTACGTGACTCTTTTCAGGGGAATTCCAAAGCCATGTCTGATCCAGGCACACAACCTTGTGGTACAAATAAAGAAATTAACCTGATCCATGAAGTAGAAAAAGGAACTGGGAGTATTGTCATGCAGCAACGAAGAACTGGACCAAACCGCTTGCGTAGCGGGAACGTCTGGTCGCACTCCAAACTAATCAGTCACTGTTTTGGTGAGAGATATTGTTATGTGGTGTGCTTGCAATAATCCTTTTTATGGGTGCATACGTCTTGCATTTACTAATCGTTCACCCTATTCGTTTTAGTATGTCTAATTTTCACATGGATAAGGCCTAGCCTACGGGCTTTCTTTTCTCTGTGCCTTTTCGTAACGTTAATCTGTTGTTTTTCGCTTATTCCCAATTCGTAATAGGTCCCTCCGATCTCGCATTACTTGCAAGATGCATGCTTGCAACGGTGTTTGTTTTACTTCACTGTTCCTCATTAATTGTTTCAGCTAAATAATGAAAATCTGTAAGAGGAAATATTTGACCATGGAGGAGAGGATCAAAGCAATAGATCGCCATGAAGGCGGGGAGTCGATTCGTGCAATAGCAAAGTCACTTGGCACAGGGAGAATGCAGATAGCGCTGCTGATTCGTAAAAAAGAGGATATCCGGCGTCAATGGGAAGCAGGGGTCTGTGCTTCAAGGAAGCTCTTGCACGAACGTAAGGTTGCCTATCCTGAACTGGACGAGAAACTGTACGAGTGGTTTCTATCAGCTCGAAGTCGAAACGTTCCAACTTCCGGGAGATTGCTTCAAAAGAAAGCAATTGAATTGGCAAAGGCACTCGGGATCGAAGGGTTCTGTGCTTCAAACGGGTGGCTTGATAAATTTCAAAAACGAAAGAATATCACCGGTGTGTCAGTTGGCGAGTCTCGAGATCTTGCTCCCGAATCCGTATCCGACAATTGGAAAGGCAGACTGAGCAGTTTGTGCGAAGGCTATGCAGCGAAAGACATTTTTACTTGCGCGGAAACCTGTCTATTCTATGGCTGCACCCCGGGCAACAGTATTGTACAGACGGAAGATGTTAATAAAAACCCCGGGAAGGAATCGGAAAAAAGATTGACGGTGTTATTTTGCTGTAGCATGGAAGGGGAGAAGTTGCCACCTTTTGTAATTGGACGTTTTAAAATTCTGTACAAACCACTTGACCGAATCGAATATCAACACAATCTTAGGGCGTGGATGAGCAAAGGATTGTTTGAAGAGTGGTTGAACAATTGGAACACTCGACTTGTTGCGGAACAAAGAAATATCATCCTCCTACTGGACCACTGTGCGGCGCATCCTTATGTAGATTTGAGTAATATCAAGATGATTTTCCTGCCCCCTAATGCCAAATCAACCCTGCAACCTCTAGATGCTGGGATAATTCAATTAGTCAGACAGCAATATCACAGTAGACTTTTGTCTCGCCTGTTTCAGTCCGCAAGTGGCGCTCCTCTGGATTCTAATATTTCAAGCAAAGTAAGTCCACCTAGACTTTATTTATTTATGGCTTCAGATACACGTTCTTGACGCACTCTCCTGGTTAAGCGATGCATGGGAGGACATTGAGACATCCATCATCGTTTCCTGCTTTTCCCGTTGCGGTTTGGGTGATGATATTGGTCACTGCGAACTGAATCAATGTATCACTGGTGCAGAAATTTGCGGTGATCTTTCTTCCTTTTTGACAACAGGAGTAGTCACTAGTCCAGATGTCCGTGTGGCCGATGGTAGGTGGATAACTAATTATTATAACCATTTCTATAGGTCACGATGGTACTCAAGTGGTTACTGAAGAAAAGGACATTCCCATCGCCATTCCCCATAGTAAAACTTCCCGTGATCTTGGGCAATTCTCTGTCAAGATGGAGGATCTGATTACCGTTCCTGCGGCCATCCATCAAGTAGAGCGCATAAGAATCATGGCTTTCAGTCATTACCCCCAGTTGGTACCAGTGGTGAATGATCTCCTATTTGCTCTCGAATCGGTCAGAGATGAAGATGAAAGCCGACAAGTAACGCCTCTTAGCAGTCTTGTACTCGGCTAGTCAAAAATAAATTTTTATTCTCTATTTGTTTTTGTTGCATTCGTGTGGTCTAACCCATTCGCATTAGTTGACTTGTCTGTTTCTCCTTACTCGTACTTTGAGGTCAGGTAAACCCATTCGCTTTTTTTCGTTTTCCCGATACGATCCTGTTTGTACGTCAAGGTAGTGTTTCATTCGAGTGCTCATGCATCACTTATGTAAGCTTCAAATGTATTGAATCCCACATTTTTCATTAACCCATGTGATGCCTTGTTTGTGTAAGACAGTTATTTAGCCTTTTTTTAAATTCATGTAGATTGTGTCTCTACGTTAAGCGGGGTGTATGGGTGTTCATGGGAGACGAGGTGAGTTAGCTGTCTTATGATGGAACAGCTCATCCGTCATTAGTCTTTGCTTGACGGACTGTTGTCTGTCCGCAGAGAACGTACGGGCAGATTACTTCCGTATGTTGACTGAGTTGTTTAAAAGGATTCAAATAACTCAGCTTTCTGAAGGGGCTGTAATTCATGAAGACGGGGAAAGAAGTTGTGGACGGATTGCTTCAGTACGAAAAATTAACTACCAGGATGATGACCTAGAACTACGTTATTTACCTTAGCAGTCTTCCACAGGAGGACCGTGTGTACAACTCAAAGCCCTGGTCGTCCGAATGGAGGATGTTTGGCTTCTAGCCGTTTTTAGTCACCGATGCCTACGAAGTATTGCTCGGGTCTGGTAGGAGAAACGCGTCATCAGTCACGAAGTTCGTCGTATTTCTGACGGGTAACCAGTACCATCCTCTGGGCCATATCATGATAGATTGTACTGTGCCATTGCTGTCGTATTCCGAAAATATCTCATTATCCGACTCTCGGTTACGTGCTGGAGATAAAAGGCGTAAAGAAAACGAGTCAAGACCCACGGTGCTCTACTAGGTCCAATGGGCCTCTAAGATGAAGACTGATTTGGATGGAAATCAATGGCATGCTTGTTCCGGTCACTTACAATCATCATTTTCATCTATCTTTGGCAAAATTTTTCCCTCGCCATAATGACGTTCTTATTACTGTTGTATTAATACCATTCTGTTTTATACCGCGTTACGTCGCATACATTCTCTCACAATTGCAGTTGTTTTCAATATATGTATAAGCACACCCGAGCTGACAATATCCCGACATATTGCCAAGAATTTAGTATTTTTGTGATCCGCTTTGTAATCCCCTGTTCAGAGTCATGCTGTCCACCCCGAAACGTGCCAGCCTGAAGTGAGCATCAAGATTAGCACTAATCTTGCAAGAATTTAACGTGGTTCGCCACTGAATGCCCCTGACTGGGTTCGCCAGGATGTCTGTTTGTATTCATTGTTGTCTCACATTTATTCCATATACATTGTATTTCATTACACTTTAGTGCTTTCAGTTCTATTCAGTTGACATGCAAATCCCTTGTAGATATCTGCGAATGAACCAGATATTCCTAAGTGTCAACTTTACAGCAGTGTTGGAGGTGACTTTGTGACCATCACTGCATAGACCAAAATGAATAATGATTGGAATCAGATGGTCATGTGTCTGTGTTTTGGGTGCGTCTCACGAGTGGTGTGGGTCACCAGACGACTTTCTGCATACACTGTGCCCAGTGGACCTGACACTTGTGGGCAGCCAGTTGCATATGCTAGGGTTTAGAACTACCCGCCTTCTGCTCATCTTGTAGTCTTATTATCTCCACTTCACCGTGAATTGCAAGATCTGTGTGTTCCGTACTGAGAGCTCTGTAGCTCTTGCTGCACCCGCCGTTGGTATCGACGACGTGTTTTGTTTTATCCATACTTTCCGTAAAGCTCCTAGTAGAGTGGCATGATACCTTTGAATTGCCCTCACATTATATGTTCATTGCAACCTTTCTGCGGCAGTATAACACTGTCCTTGGACACAGCGTCGATACGTCAGGGACTGAGAACTTTTCAGCTCAGCTGAAAAGTTCAGCTGAACATTTTCAGCGTTTGACTGCATCTTTTGCATATGGGCACGTATGGGTGCAGAGATTTCCACGTACGAGAATGACCACACAGAGGTCTGTTCTACAAATTTGTCACTGGTTAGTCGCTAGGATGTGTTGGTTTAAGTAACAGGGGGCATTCTTCTTTTGCCGGAAACGTCAGCCACCGTGGTTCTGAATGACCTGCGTTGAACACTGCTTGTAGATAGTCACCAGGACTCAGCTTCCAGCTAGGGTATGGCTAACAACTGTTGTGTTGCAGTGTTTCGGTAGTCCCTCTCTAGTACGCAGCGTTTCTTTGTCACTCACTAGTTGGTTCTTTGAAGCGGAGCGGACGCATGCCTTGGGAACTTTCAGTATTTTGTATCACTTTTCAACTATCCATTTGCCACCTATGTATGTCCATATTGCAAAACACTTCACCAGATTTCAGACTACTGATCAAATCTTTCCCGAAACCTCTCCGTCATCACAAGAGTAAATTCCTTATCATTACGTCACTGAACCTAGATGAGTAGTGTATTTCTTACCAGCTTTTACTTTTTCGGCTCATTCCTTAAAGTCTGAGGAGTTCCTTCATCAACTATCAACTGGCTATTGATCTTCCGTAATCACCCAAACACCCTGATGTGGTTTGACCTCGTTACATCTTCGGCAGGACTTCCTCTGATTAAAAAGCAGTTGTGTTCTGTCACCCATTTCGTGACACGGCTGCTACTAAGCTAAACTTTTCTTTGGCTCGAAAGTCGCGAGGAATTGTTGGCAAACCTTTGTTTTCGCACGTGTATGCGATGCCTACACAGTTGCCCCCCTATTGGAAGACCACATCAAGAAAACGTTCCAGTGTCATTTCTACTGCGAGGTAGTTACCCTCTTCTGGAGGGAGTTTACAATCGAACTACACTTCGAGGAATAAACTAACAGTAGCTTCTTTCGGGGGATGGGTAGCCGCATGATGAAAACAGTTTCCATCCTAACCAAACGCTCCATCCCTGTACGTTGTCAGCTGGCCTGGGTTCGAACGTAAGAACTCCGGACGATGCAAACGGTTAAACCTCAGATAGCATGACGAGGATTTTATTGGATTCAGCGTGATCTTATGGGTGCGCTTAGTATTCAAAGGTCATAGCAACTACAGCGATTTAGCTAGGTCAATACACCAGGTTGCCAACTAAACCCACAAAATAACCTTCAGACACTGGGGACGTTTGAAGTCCCCTTTAGTTCCTGGTCTTTTGTGTGCTTCCGGAACACGCTGTAGCTTATCACTGATGTTTAGCTGGTCATCTTGGATATTTTTCTGGTTATTTATGCTGTAGCTATTTGGGAAAGCCGTACACTGATCTTTCTGTTCGGTGCACTTCCTATCGTTTTTTCAGATCGACACACAGTGAGCCATCAGCTTCCTCCTGCAACGTCAGCTGGCCATGGATACACATCGAAAGCTTCTTCACGAACAATTTACTTCTTTTGTTGGTACAACGTCACTGGCTGAAGTTTTGGCATTGTGCACCATTCCTATACCACTTCTCTCAATCCGTCATATTTTGGCGTCGCTTTTTGGTTTAAAACTGCGTAATCTCATCATGAATCTACTCTGGGATGCACTGTGTGTGATTATCCCAACGATTCTGCTATTGACCGTAGCTCATCAACACATTTTGCTGGTTTGGACGAGTACATCTGTCTCAGTTTTCTTCTGCCAACTTCTCGCCGTGCGCCCCCGAAGTAATCGACCGCCTTTAACCTTCGCTTCCCTGGTTTGCGTACCGGAATTGAAATGTGTAGTCATGTTGCTCACCTGTCTGATGCTGTTGGGCATTGATCTTCCCGTATGTCCGAGACGATTTGCCAAAACGCACACTCATGGGTTCAGCCTAATGGACACCGGGACCGGTCTGGCCATATCGCTTTCAGCTATATCAACGTACCAGTATATTCTTTCCCCACCTGTGGTTCCATCAAGTCTCGGATATCTTCTCCAACGTAGTGTTTTGCCCGCTTTCATCATCGGATCCATCCGAGTGTGTTTGGTTTCACTCCTAAATTATCAACAGCCAACGGCAGAATACGGCTCGCATTGGAACTTCTTTTACACATTTGCTTTTGTCCGATTTATTTCCTGCACTGTACTGTCCAGCGAATTGTTCACCAATCGCTGTTCCCTAACAAAGCGTCTGTTTTGTCTAATTGGAATCACCGTTTCGCTGTTCTCACTTTCCTGGTATCTAGAGCAGCGAGTCAGTTTGATTATGACAGATGATGTAGATTGGCCTTCAGACGAGGCCAGATCAAGGTCGCTACTTCTAGCCAACGCCGAGGGTTTGTTATCACTCTCTGGGTATACAGCGATTTACTTCTGTGGTATATTATATTTCACTTTTTCCCGGTTATTATTTGATCATGACATTTTCACCAGAACAATCGGGTCTTTTTTGGCTTACACTTTGTTCAGTTTGTTCTTACTTGTTTTCTGTTACGCTTATCTGGATCATTTTGGGTGGTATTCAATTTCGCGCCGCTTTGCAAACTCAGGATACATTGTGTTCATCTTCCTGGCCACAGTAGTTTCGGTTCTATTCAATTCCCTTAGTGGTTTTGCCCAGTACTGCTGTGGTAAGACCTCTGAGTATCCACCCTCCGCACTGATACTTTGCACTTCCAAATTTGGAATGTCATACTTTCTTCTCTCTAACGTGATTACAGGAGGCGTAAATTTCTTTTTGGATACCCTTAGTTTTTTGTCATCCGACGCTGTTATAGATCCGATCACTGGTGTCTGTTCTCTGAGTTTCCAGTCTTCTGCTGTACAGTTGGTAATTCTTCTGATGTACGCTATTTTGTGTCTGGTATTAGTACTTGTGTTTAACACAAAATCACTGAATGTCCAGTGAACTGGTGTGTTGTGTTCTGCAAAATGGGTCACCGCTGCAAACATTGTCGAAGTCAAACACAATACTTATGTTAGATGACATGTCTCGCCTTGAGACATTATTTCCATCGCTTATATGTAACGCCGTAAAAGCGTTCGATGTGAAAACACCTGATACGCAATGAAAATTACTGTACGATGCACAACATCCGCATGTAATGAAAGTTGTGGTAGAAAGCCGCGCATCGTTGGCTATTGTGTTTATCGGATACTGGAACAATTCGTTTACTACATCTTTTGTAAATCGCCAGTGAATAGTCGAATAGCTACGTGGCAATTACTAATTGCTGTTTAGAGATAGGGTTGATAACCCTCGCTCTTCTTGAGAAGTTTTGCTCCAGGTGAACAGAAATGGCCGATTACTTGTACCCATGGTGCAGCACGTCGGAGTACGTTTCAAAAAGCTCGATTACTTTATAAATTGCCGGCTTGTGGCAGTACGGTGGCGGCAACGTAAGGTTGACAGAAGTGCTGATGCGAATGAGGAAACTTGCGTGTACTGTAGATTTACGATAGCGGCTGCGTGCATTGTGTAGATAAACAATACAGTGATCCATATACAAAAGAGTGGTACCGATCAAAACGTTCTGTCGAAAGGAATTCTTGTCTTCTCATAACACCACTAATATAAGGATGTTGAAAACTTCGGCAGTTTGGCTTTTCTTGGGGGCCATCATTTATGGTGTTCCCCTAGTTCCCAACAATCTTGTCTTCAATTTGAACGCCCAGTTGTGTGCAAATTGAGTTGGTGCTGGCGTAAGATTCGAATAAGTCCCAGCTTTCTCTAATTTATATATATTATTAATATATTCTTCAACTGAAGAATGAACTCCTAGAATGGTGAGACCGGCAATTGGTGGTCGGACTGCTTTCAGTGACTCTGTGGATGGATTTGTTCAGAAAACACTTCGATATCGCACCGGTTGAGATTGGTTACGGTCTTTGTGTGTAACATGCAGCTGAATAAGTTGAATTGGGTTGGCAACTGGGTTCATTTCGAGAACTTTGGTATTCATAAACCTGAATGAGTCAAAATCTCATCCGTGCGCTCGGGTTTGGGTATCTCATCATTCAGGCATTTTTGAATCTTGACAACCTTGTTCCACACAAAACTGCGTTGCCAAAATCAATCATATTCGCATATTTTCATGTACTGATTGCAGGTACAATGGCAAGGTTGCAGTTGGTCGGTCAACTTCGAATAACCGTCATTTTTCCCGATCACAGCCTTTATAATGAAACCAAGCTTCTGGATTTGTTAAAACCCATAACACTCCAGGGACGTCCTCGCTACTGCCCTCGCGCTGGACACGCGACACTGGAAGGATGCCCATATCTGATATCTTACTACCGCCTGCTGATCAGTACTCAGCATTGGTTACCGGCCAGCTTGGTTATGTGCGTTAACGGAGTCCGCTAGAAAAACATCAGTTTTAAAGCGTCATCATCGATAGCATGACTTCAGTGTTCAACACTGTTGCTTCGCTGCCGTAAAGCAGGAAGTGTTCACCCTATACTGTCATCCAAATTATGAATCCGGAATCTACCGCCTGGTTATCTTCTGAACATGGATGTTGTTGGCTGCGCAGCTAGGTTCTGAGTGTGACTCTTTCGATCGGTGCATTGTGCAACGTGAGAAAACTTGGTCAGCTACTGATGTCTTCTTCATCCGATGCCTTTCGTAGGCCTTCAACTTGTTGTTAGGTGGGTAATCGAGTTGTTGCGGTGCATTTAGTCGGTATCAGCCAGTTTGGACTACTCGAGTGATTAGAGCATTCTGTTAAGCCCTGTAAATCATTTCCCAGCAAGCACTGGTTTTCAGATCGCCAATTCTACTCAAATAGATGAGAACTTCTACCTCATGAAGGCCACCGAACCATCGACCGGGTACCTTTCTAGCACAACAGCGCATGCTGAATTCTGGTTCACTTTACTGATAGCTGGTCCATTTTCTCGGTCATTTTGTCCATGTTTCTGAAACGCAAGAATACTTTTTACATTTACAAGACTATTTTCAGGATGGAGGTAGAGTCCTCTTACCGTTGGTGTCTGATATTCACCAACTGCACAATGGACTGATTGGTTGTTGGTTATATTGGCGATTATATCGTTCTTGTTGTACAGCTTTACCAGTCGACTTTCCTGGTGCTCTCTGACATGCCTCCAGACCCTTGAACGGGTCTTGACAATGAAGCGGTTCACATTCTCTCGCATGAAAGATACACCCTCGTGCCCATCTACATCATTGTTACCATCCGTTCTGTCAGAACTTTGACATTGCAAACTCTGTGTATGCCATGATTGCACCGAATTCGGCTGAATATGGTTAAGGTTTTGGGGTTCTGGGATCGTATTAGATAGAGATGGAATGGGGTAAGGTAATGGCACATAGCAATCTCCTTGTTATAGCGGGTCTCGCTTGAGAAGGAACCAGTAAAAGGCAAACAAAAAGGGAAGTGTGGTATCAAAGTAGCACATTAAAAGGTTGCTATTGGTGTTATTTCACTGATGGTCACCCACTGAGTGCCTGATGATCTCTTATTTAAACTACTTTTCCAATGCGCTCAAGCTGGTAACGAAATGTCCCCTCACAGTGACAGCTAACGATCCAGTACCCAGGGGTGCTGGATACTGTAGAAGGTATTATAATCCGCTGGTTGTCCGCGAACTACATTGTTAGTGCGACGTGTACTCCCTCAATTCCGGAAGAAGCACGGAGTTTACTGTATGTCACAGAATGCCTACCAACGCTTCGGACTCTTGAAAACTGTACGCGTTCCGAGAACTGTAGCCAATTTCTCTCGTCATTTGCCGGCTTATCATCATAGTTTATTCATCTAGTATGATTTCACATACCTAATACAGAAAAATTCCATCGTAAGGATCGGCTTTCCCAAACACCGAGTCCCGTCAGTTCGTATATCCCAAGGCTAGAAACGCAGGTTTGGTAATTCTGAGGCTGTATGGTCTTCCTAAAGTGTTGCATTTTTGAAGCCCGTTCTAGTTTAAGTCTTCTGGTTGAGCTGATTAAATTTGTTGAGAAAGAAGTCGCCGAATAATAGTAGAAAACAACTCGGTTACAGATTTCCTCCTAAAAAGATGTTATGCGTTTGGTATGCGGAGCTTATGGTTTCTTCTCGTCTGCGGTAGGTTTTGGCCAGAATATACAGCAGAATATCATCTTCGGTTGGAGCTGAGAGATGACCTCTGCAACAGTAGCCTCTCAGTAGTCCTTTTTCCCTCCAAAGTGAAGCAGCCGTATTTTTTAGTTAGTGCGTAAGATGCCGTCAGCTGTTTCTTTGTCAGAATTCTTAAGGCGAAAATGTCTAATTCGGTGTGTTAACGATTGAACTTCTCACGGGTCGATATGTAAGGTAACCTATCTTGTTCAGTCTGACGCCTATGCCTTCGGGGTCGTGGGCGAAACGTATGAGTGATCCCGGAAACTCCAAAGTTGTGCTAAATGTATGGATTAAGGTGACAAACACGTTAGCCAGTGCGCTCGGTGTTGTAAAGATGACACTAACGAGATGCCACGTCAAACATGAAATAGACCCGAATGGCAACGCGGCTCTCATGTTGCTTCGTCACACTGGCTACTCAAAAGTTCAAATAAGAAACAGGCAAGTTAGGGACGAATAAGAAGGCTAAATTCCTAATGCTTAGCTGCATAAGAATCAGCGTGAATTGGGAACTTATAGAAGAGGAGCTTGGATGCAATTCATAATAAGACATTTTTTTCAGTTCAAAGACTGGAAGTCTTGTTGCTTTGCTTTGTTTCTGGCTCCGTAAGCATTATCAAATGCCCGTTTAGTGGGTTATCTGATCATTTTTCCTGTTCAGTTCGAGAACTGTGCACCTGTCACAATTAAGAGCGGGGTTGCTTTCACGTGACCCTAAGTCACCGTGCCTTCGAGAAACCACTATTGATTCGACGGAGGTGAAATTACTATTCGGCCTTGAATAGCAACCGTTGTCGAACTTCACAAGTTTACGTAACCAGAAGTGATACGACTTAGTTTCTGTCGTCACGGTTTTCGTTGTACATATCTGGTTTTGAAATGGGACCTGGTTGAATGGATTTATCACGAATAAGATGTCCCAGGGTTGCAGAATGCAAACAAAACTACCATGGATGGATAACACAGTGACCACCTGGCCGAAAGGTGCCAATTACTTTTGTTGCACTCTACAGGGTTCCTCCTAATCTAGGGCATTCTCTAGAATGGAGTGTTTCCCAGTTCCCCGTTTCTTCCCCCACTGGATCATACGGATTGCAGCAGTTGCGTTGCGCGTCTCCCTGGTCACATACGCTATCGTTAACTTCTGCCAAAGGTTTTCTGTTTACTGTACCGACGACTGTTAAATGCACATTGGTGATTTCTGTCATGTTTATTTGGCTTCGGAGCACCATTCACCTATCGGAACTACTGTTGTAAAATGTTGCATCGCCATCTAAAATCCATCAGTCATTCATAATAGTACGAATCATGCAGCTGTAAGACCCTTTCGACACCTAGCTACCATAACATCCGAAGAAGCACAAGGGCTACGGTACTACCAGGTTGCTCAGGCCCAAATAGGAGCAGTCGAGATACGGAGGTAGGGTTCGAACCAAGGACCTTTGGGTCACAAAGTTTGGTTTTTGTCCACCGAGTTATTTTGAGCATCAACTCCTCATAGAGATTGTAAACCCCTGTCAGGTGAATGGTCATGGAATAAAGTATTCTAATTCGCAGGTTTTTGCATCAACTCCTCATAGAGATTGTAAACCCCTGTCAGGTGAATGGTCATGGAATAAAGTATTCTAATTCTGCAGGTTTTTTTTATTGAGACAGCCAGTACGAGTTTTTCTGGCGTACAATTGTCGCTAGTCATGTTTCAGAACAAACCGGAACAATGACAGCCCTTATTCTTCCCCTACTTATCCGTGTCACCATACGCAAACACCGTTACTAAGTTAGGATTGGTGAAAGTTGTTCGTCCTTACGACAGTAACTAGCCCTGCATGGTACCCTGAGTTTATCTCCCTATATAATCAAGTGTGAATGTATGGGCAGCACGAATGAGGTTGTAAAAAAAGCTTTGTGATGATTTATGTGAAACACAGTGGTTAGTCGTTCTCGACTACTTCCCTATGTATCGCTCGGTTGTGCAAAGATTAGGGATGTGCTCTCAAGGTAGAATTAGGAACCCCATCGGTTCCGAAATTCCCTCGTCACTGTGAGATACCTCCGTAATTGCAACTAACTGTACCATGCTTCAACCAATTTGGAACGGGTGTAAATATGTTCGAATCCTGATTCAGATAAGAATTGCTCCATTGTTCAGAGAAGACTGGATCAATGGGTTATTCAATTGAAAGTTTAGCCGATGGAAGCGGCACTGTAACGCAATAAAAATGGGTAGACTTTTAGTGGATTTTTCGAAGAACGTCTCCGGTCGGAAATAGGTTTTTAAGCGTGACAGCTAAAACAACTGTCGACGTCAGTAGGACAAAGGCAAAGCGTCTGGATAAATGAATGGTGTGTGTGCTCACATGCGGCTGGCATGAGTGAATTCCGCATAGCTTTCCGATGGGAATAACTGAAATAAGGAAACGTCGATTTGTTGAAAAAAAATTAATAGCACTGTGTATTCCTTATACTCTTAGAAAATTTGTTTTACTTGTGGTTCGCAGAAGATGGCTCTATCAGAACACGCTGGAAATAACCGTACACGTGTGCATGGTCTCTGACGCGAACACGGATAGAAGATGAACCTCTGGGAAACAGCTTGATGTCAAAGCAAGCGTCGTCCATCTGTATGACACTTGAACATCCGTGAGATTTACGCATCCGTGGTAATAGCATGGACAATGAAACCATTTACCAGCGCGTCGCATGGACCGGCTAATCGAATAGCTGCTGCGTCAGCCTCGAAAGGAGTTATGTATTAGTAAAGGGAGGTGAAACGGGGAGAACTCGGTTTTGGAAGCAAAGCGAAAATCAACATTTGAAACAGTCAAAATCCAGGGAGACACCTTCCCGCCTTCCGTAAACCGTTTATGGAACCTTATACGTACCGCAATTGTTCGTGCGCGTATCACTACAATGTAGAGCGCTTCATTAACAGGGCCGGCTCTCAGGCATGAAAACCAGCTATTGTAGACCACTTAAGCTGAAAGCGGACGTCAGCCAACCTGACAGGCCCAATACCCTCATTTTCATTGGTTACACACCAAAATAGATGTATTTTTGGCGTCATATTTTGCGTAAAAATGATTGGTGTGCGAGGGACCTCGGCTGGGATGAAGAGCTCTTGTCAGAATAAAGCATACTACTGGCACTAGCATCAATTCATTATTTGTCTAGCCATCAGTGCTGGACATCAACGCCTCACTAGCGTTTTAATGCACTATTCATAAGGTTGCTGAAAACTCCTCGGCAGCTCACGACCGGTTTCACCCTTCTTGGGGCTCATTAGGTAGGCGCAGCCCCCTGGTTTCCGTCAAACTTATGTTAAACTTGAAAGCAAATTGCACGAAATTAGCGAATATATACTCATTTGCAAACTAATTTGGCTTTTCGAGAGACTCACCTGGAACCCTGCTGAATCCCCCGTTTGTGATGTCACCAGGTGACTGAATGTACTGCACCAGGCCGCCTCATGTTACAGTCGCTATGATATTCGAGATATCGCGATACATTCATATTTGTAATGCACTACTCATAAGGCTGTTGAAAATTCGTAGACAGCCCACGACCGGTTTTGCCCTTCTTGTGGCTCATCGGGTAGGCGCAGTCCCCGAGTTTCCGTCAACCTAATGTACTACCAAATTAGTTTACAAATGAATGTATTTCGCTAGCTTAACTAGCATATTTAAGCTCCTCTTTCGACAAACTCATGACTGTCTGATCAATTGAACACGATATGTCATTGGATACAGTTCATACAGCTGAACACAGCCACACATTTGAAATCCGACATCAACCAGACGAATCGGGTAGTATAACCTGGGTGATCTTTGACGAGAACGATTTGGATAGAGTTTCCCAGTTCCCACGACTGTGTATATACCGGGTGAAACGTTTGTTTTTCCAAAATGAACGAAGGATAGCAAGCGAAATCGATAGCACTCTGAACGTCATCAGCCAGCTGCCTGCTGCTCTTGACCGGAACACTAGACGGCGCATGTCTGACTGAGAACAAAAGTGTCACAAGAGGAAAAATTCTTGCCTAGTAATGATCGTTTTACAAACCAGATAGCTCCACATACAAATCGGAAGAAAGCTATCACAAAGAAACAGGTCTTTTGACCTCGTTTGAGGGGCCGCTCGCTCTTTGACTGTCATTCCCTACGTTCCAAAATCGGTATTCCAGGACGTTGGGAATCGGACAAAAACCGCGAGAGAGAGAGAGAGAGAAGAAATGGTCTCTTTACGAAACGTCCACTGCTTGTCCATTTTTTGCTCCAAGTAGACTAAATTCGATCAATGAGGAATATTCACAGTGGAAGAACGAAATGCTCACAAGTGCTGAGTATCCATTATTAGGGAACTTAATGGATACGCATGTCTATTGGAATGGGTCTCAACATCAGAACTAAACCACTGTAGTACTAAATACCTGAGAGCATCCAACACAAGTCTACTTTGGATGATAGGATGCAAAGATATACAAAACAAATTTCGGATGATTTTTACGTGCAATGGGTCGGAGTTGCACTTTGCTGGGTAACAAGCTTATACCAGCATACATAGTACTTTTGCAATTAGTATGGCATCTCTAGGGTTCTGCAGAGCCCCTTTAAATTCCTCTTTTTCAACATTATGGTCTGCCGCATTCCCACGATTTTCTTTAAGCCTTTCAACTTCTGTCAAGCAGACAATCTCATCATATTTTGGGTGGTTTATCTCTTTGCTTGTTGCTGTTGATTTGTTCACTGAACTGGACAGTTTGGTTGCAAACGATTCATCAGCAGTCAAGGTGGCGTCATCGGTGCACTGTGAGTGGAAAGTTGTTTCAACCCCAACACACAAATGATGCAACCAAACTGCCCAGCTCAGTGAACAAACCAAAGGCCAATTCTCTATTCTCTCCTCATGATTTGTTAACGACAAAGCTAAGAGCTCCCGTACTATGCATGCGATTGGTGGTTTCTTTGCCCGCATCACAAAAAAAAACATTTTGCACTTCTCTGCTCACAACCCGGAGTCTTCAACCCCCCAAACTATCTCACCCATTCCATTACCGTGTACACAACAAAAATAACATCCAGTTTAGCTGCTGCGTCATCCGTATCAAGCGCATCGGATAAGTTCTGTATGTAATTTTAAGTTACCTAATTAATAGCTTGTCAGGTGGCTGAAGTTGCCTGATGCCTTTCCTGATTTCATCACTACCGATATCTGCGTGTACACAACAGTCTCCTTAACAGCACTAGTATTCTCGTGCTTGTTGCACCAATCTGGTTTTTGTAGCCAATTAAGGACTAGTGACGTTGTGACTCACGGTTCCCCAGACCAGAACCAGTACTTATTTCTGGGTGCTAACTATCCAAGAAAGAACACTGATTTCAATGACTACGAGATGAATTCTACTCCCAATGGCATGATAACATCGCCGCACATCTTCAGTAACCTTTTTAACTTCAACGTCTTAGTGTTATCAGAAATAAAACGACCCTTTCCACGCCCAGTTTACGCAGACAAGTTAAGGAATCTCCGAAAACAGTGTTTGCAATTGTCCGTTCTACACGGATACAACTTTTTCTTTCCGATATAACATTCGGCTGCAGATGCCATAAAAAGTTTTGAACCAGGACTTGATTTGAAATCACAGTGCCACACTTCTTGAACATCTGGCATCCAAATGACTCAGTCTGTGAGTGGTGCTTACTTGAGGCCAGTTAAAGCACAGTGAATTCAGCAAGTGTATTGATTTCCAAGATACTTTTATTTACAAAGTGTGAATTCGGCCATGCGGATCGAGCACCTTCGATAGACCAGTCGCAGCAACTACACTGACCTTCGGTGAAACAGAACGGAGCGAACAAATGATTGTCCAACGAGATAACAGAACAAAGCGAACATCAACGGTTGTCAGGTTAGGGCGTCATGGTGATGTCATGGTGAAGATGATGAGTAAAAAGAGAAAATTCTGGTAACATAGTGAAATAACTTTCACGCAACTGGTTACTGACATTGTAAGTCTGATACCGATGAGGCAAAGTTTAAATGGTCGATCATTCACCACATTCGCTGGTCATAAGCTGATGGTAAGATGTCCACACACATTACATTGTTTCACCCGAAATCTTACTGAAAGACTTTTTGTATAATGAAAATAACTTCAAATTGTTTGACCCTGTCATTTTGGGCTTGTGGAAATGACAAAACCGCATGTTAACTACATTGTTCACCAAGAAGTATATGGGCTGACTGCCAATGATATACTGACGCCATTGAATCAGACACCAGCGGAAATGTGAACATATATCTGGTTGATTTCTAAATGTTTTGCTTAAAAAGTTTATTTAGGCTGTTCGATCATATACATGCAGATGAAGGCTTGCTGAATGTTCGAGCGATATTTGGGATAATTTCTTTCCCCTTCTCTTGTTTGACCTCTCCTCTGAATGTCTACTTCAATCTTGTAACGCTATGTGTACTTCTTGGCCGCAATCCCCAAAGCACGCTCGCCATATATATTTGAATTGAGCGTTCTAACTCAGGCCACCATTGAATAGGTAATGCGCGTATAGTGCGCCGCTACGGTATCCTCACAAGCTTAGGCTGGGCTTTTATTTCAAAACAGTATATGCATGGTTTGTCAGTCCAGTAACGGCTTTTCAGGTTCATTTGTAATTTTACCGGGTCTAGCCACACAAGCTCTCACATTCAAAGTGCATGTGACACTGAAACGTGTATTTGACACAAACCTATGGATAAACTGCTCTTCCCACACGATCGCACCGAGCATTCAGATCCAGTCATGCATGCTGAAGTTATATTTAATTGGGAAAACGCACAGTGACTGGTAGGGAACGATCAAAGATTGTGAAGCACACAATTCCTTGAGTTCGAAGGACCGTAAAACGACAAATGCACTTTAGCTAGTATGACTAGGCTAAGACAGCCCTTAAATTTTAGACTTTCAATAGATCATTTTATTCAGTGCCGTTTCAAATCTCCATACAACGGACAGGACCTGGTGGATGGAGAACTGATAGAGCTCAGGTGTCCACCATAGTCTTTCCAAGGATTCTGCTTCCAGAGTTTCTTTCAGAACCACTCGTTCAGTCAAACATGCGTAGCCATCAACTCACTACCTGGATGTACAACAAGGAGTCTCACTAGGGAATGTTGCGCACTTAGTGGCACTTTCAAACTATTCGTGCGTCTGTACTCAAACATCCCTCAAGGATAGGATAGGTTCCACTGACTCGAAAAGGGAAACTGAACACGCGGAGCCCGACAACTTTTCGCATTAAGACCTGAGTAGTGGGTCCGTCTGGTCACCTAGCACGTTATTTTCTCTGAGTAGGGAACGCGCCGACACACCTTGAGAACAAACTACGAAGACGGACCTTCAAGTGAAGCACCCTACTTTATTCCGAGCCGATGCTGTCAATTAATCGCGTCAGAATCTTTTTCTGTAACCGACCGTCGCCGAAAGCAAAATATCATAATTCGCTTATGTGCGTATCTGTGTGGAGGTCAGATCCAAATTGCGACGTATCGCCCTCGAGTTTGTGAGAGTGGACAATCCTAATTGCCACCTGAGCTGTAAACCGTTAACAGCCCTTCCGAGTTCTAACTACTCGTTCACAAGAGTGCTCACAATGCGACAGAGCTAGCCAATGACAATTCACTCAATGAGACAGTGAACCATGGCAACCAGAAGAGTCGCCACCTAAGCGGAGGATTAAGAAGAATGAAATCCGCAAACAGGTTACTACTCTTATGCACTTATTTCAAACCGGAAATGAGGTTGATAAAACTCGGAGGTCTATACCTAATGAGCCTGGAGATAGGCAAAACCGATAGTGGAATACCGAAGGCTTTTCAGCAATCCTACCTTTGACTAGCAAGCCATTTGAATGAAAACAAAGTGGATCCGTAGACTATATACCACAAATCCATAATATGATTGCTAAAGAGAATGAATTTATACAGCGAAATGGGGTTTGGAATGATCCAAAGGAGTACGGGCTACATAGGCGCACATATGGCAAACTAAATAGAGAAACATTAGGATGAGGCTTTCCTGTCCATAACAGAAAAACGGCAATTTCTGACAAACTTCAAAAGCGGAATACATTTGGACACGAAGTGGGATCGATTTCACGTCCGTCATTTGTCGGTTGGAGGCGAACAATCATGGGTTGAATCAAATAAAAATGTCCAGCAAAGCAAAGAAAAAATGCTGTTGATTGAGTTGTGCAAAAGCAGTAGTTTTGTTAGTAGTTTTGTTGACAGCGCTTCGTAACCAGTGTGCTCTTGTAAAACGGAGCAGAGCTATGGTTTAGTGTGCGTGCGCTGAGCACTGGCACACGCGACTTTGTATACGTGCTTCTGAAGGCAATGCTATTCCGTTACACTTGGCCGCTTCGCTGAGTAATCCTACTGATTAAGCTGTTTATCTGGGTTCTGACTGGCCGGCGTTCAGGTGCTCTTTGAGCTTTATCTCTCTTGTTGGTATTCTGCGGCCTTTACCGACCTGGTCCTGTGACCGACCCTGTCGTCTCATCCGTTTGTCTGATGCTCGGCTGCATTTTTATAATCACAATGGGTCGCTGAAGCCTTGCTCTTACAGCTGCATAAACTAAGTCCAGTTTAACGTGTCGGTTGGCTGACTTCGTCAGACAGTCCTATGCTTCCAGAAAGTATCTTGCCTTTTTCGTATCTCCATGTCTTCTCGGTCGAAATGCACGTATGCCAATAAAAAAATGGCTATCCTGTTTTCGTTGATCCTTGTAGACAGTTTACTCCCAACTTGCCAAATCTGACACCTTGTGCATCCACTGTGTCCTTTCTGTCTGTCTATTTGTCTGATTTCATCACTTGTTCTTGAAATCAGTCTTCTCAGGGTGTCACTGGGTTTGTACGCTACCGAAATTCCACGTGGTTTCTTTGTTCTTGCGGTTATTCGGAGTATTTGTCGGTGTAGGGAAGCACTATTCGTCTGCTTGTTCGTCCTTGACGTTGTGGCTGTTGTTCGTTGTGGCGGTAGTGGTTGTGGTGCGTTCTTCTCTTCTGTTATCTTCTTGAGTATTCGTTGTCATGTGCTACTCGGTATAAGTAGTTTTCTTTATTTCCTTCGACTTCTTTTGTGCTGCAGTGTGGTTTTGGTCTTTTGAATGAAGTTTGAATGAGACTTCTCTTGTGATTCACTGAGATGTTTCTGTGATGGTTCAATACTTGACCTGGTTGCGTTATTTCGACATCATTAGCAGCGGTTGCTGTACAGTTGTTACAGCTGCTGTGGTTTTGCACGTCGGTGATCTGGGAAAATAGGGGGTGGATAGCTACGAAACTGAGGTAGTGACTGATGTTGTTGACGCGTGAATCTAGAGGTGGCTTGACTTTTAATAAGGAAGATCGGGAGGAAATCTATCCAATAAAGCGACTGCTTGAGTGCCAGTCAAAGTCTCTAACCGATTATGTATCCCATCTTGGGCTTCCATCCAGGTAGACGGCAATAGCCAGGACAGCTGAGTCTCCCGAAACTGGTTTTAATAATTCGACCGCTCCTGGCTCTTTTCCACCCTCCGATTGTATGAAAATGTCTGTTCTAAGGAATCTACCGGCTGTTATTCGAAACACAGAACCAAACCAGAACAACCAGTAGTGTGTCATCAGCTCACATGTGGTAGTTTCTTTGACATGTGCTCGTGTGAGGTCTCCGAGGATGGTTTTGTCGACTAGTACGTCCAAGAGTGAGAGTTCGTTGTCCTTCTCCATTTCAGTTGCAACTTGATGTCTTCCAATTTGTTGTTACTCCGTTCGTGCATCTTTTATTTTGAACTTTATTTAGTGATAATAAATATGTCATCCAAATATCTGGTCCCAAACGTTGGACTAATCCGTGGTTGTAGAATGCACTCCAAATCTGCATCACGGCTTCGGTAGTTGGTTTGAATATTACTGGCTTCATTGGTGTTCGCTTCATTTATTGACATTCCTACCTGTCGACCATGCGCAAGCCTCTTTTCATGGTGCCTGCTGTATTGGCTTGATTCCACGTGATTTCCTTGTAATTGTGATTTCTTTTTCAAGTTTGTGATTATTCGATGTGGAGACAGTGATGACGTCCAATGACAACATAATTGTTCCCTCTTCCAAACTAACATGCTGTAGTTTGTCCAGTAATTACGCGGGATTTTGGATACTGTGTTCAGATGTTGAATTCGCATGTTTCAAACGCTGGTTTCCTGGTAATTTGTGCCCTGGAGCTCCTGATAGTGGAGCAGTTAATTGAAGAGGAGCTCCAACTTGGTGAACCATTGGCAACTCATAGAATTATATGTTGGCGAAATACACTCATCTGCAAACTAATTTAGTTTTCCGATATACTCATCTGGAACCCAGCTGAATCCCCCGTTTGTGATGTTTCCAAGCAACTGAATGTGCTGGATCAGGTCGCCTCATATTTCAGTCGCTACGATATTCGAGATATCGCGGTACATATATATACTTGTAATGCGCTACTCATAAGGTTGCTGAAAATCCGTCGACAGCCATGACCGATTTCGCTCTTCTTGGGGCTCATCAGGTAGGCGCAGTCACCGAGTTTCCGTCAACCTTATGTTCTGCTTGAAACATCTCGAATATCGTAGCGACTGAAGCATGAGGTGGCCTGGTGCATCACTTTCAGTTGCCTGGAACATCACAACCAAGAGATGCAGCTGGGTTCCAGATGAGTCTCTCGAAAAACCAAATCAGTTTGCAAATGAGTGTAGTTCGCTAATTTCGTGCAATTTGATTTCAAGTAGAACATAAGGTTGACGCCTACGTGATGAGCCCCAAAAAGGGAGAAACCGGTCGTGGGCTGTTGACGAATTTTCAGTAACCTTATGAGTAGTGCATTACAAATATATATTATGTTGGCGTTATCTGCTTGCATTTTACATCATTCTTGGTCTGTTATCTCATTTGATGCTCGTTATTTTCTCAGTGTCTTGATGAAATGGTTTACCGGCTTTCGAGTGGGTCATGTTCGGCTGAGCAACAGGCGGTCGCGCCATTTAATAGAAAATTGACTTCCCTGATGTGGTCCGGTTTGCTTAGAAAAACTGTTGAACACTCTTTTCTGTCAGCATTATTACCAAGCGTTCATGTGTTCATTTGCTTTCCGAGTTTTCCGCTCGTCTCTGGTGATTGCCTGCGTGATTAAGTTTCAGCCGCCATTTATTCTTAAGCTCATGCAGTCGTTTTTTTTAGGTTACTTCTTGACATTCAGAGTTAATTTCGGACACACGAGGTTTGAGGTTTCATGGCTGCCTTATTTAAGCTGCAATCCTCTGCTCAACCCCGGACAAAACTGGTCATTTTCCTCAGCTCCACGCACGTACCTTCGTTGTAGTTCACCTTCGTTGTTGTCCCATATGGTTGGCCCCGACAGTTTTCTGGAAAGCCCTTCTTGAAGTTTCGAAACAACTACCTAGTCATCCAATTTTCCAACGTTCATGCATTGTTCTCGGATACACGACGGTCTAATTTTAGCAAAATGACGCTCACCTTAGCCTTTACCACCCAGCCTCAAGCACCATTTCAGTGAGTAGATTCTCTCTGAACTCCTTTTATCGGGTAAATACATGGTCAAAGAGAAAGCTTTCTTCGTCTCTCGAATGCGTTCGTGGGGTTATTAAGGTTTTTCCTCAGTTAAATCAGGTCATCGGTGATCTGCTTCATTGCTGTACACATATGAAAAACCGTGCAGTTGTGGTTTAATAATGCATTTCCAGAAGGTCCCAAGTCTTCCACCAAGTTCATGAAACTTGACCTAATCAAACTATATATATATATATATATNNTATATATATATATTGTTATACTGATCCCCGTTGCAATGCGCCAGTGTCGGAAAAAGACTCGCTAACAAGGTACACCTTATTGCAAACAAGCGTGTGCAAGGAGCCTCGTGCTATGTCAAAACCACTTTTGACATTGGCTCAATCTATCTGGTTGACGTTTAGGGAACACCCATCATCATCAACCGTGCTTCTATGGAATTCCTGAACACTTATTATAGTCGGCCGTACTGCTGTGGCTTGCCTGAACACTCATCGGCTTTTGCTGAACTGAGTGACTAGCCTGAATGCTTATCGGCTTCCCTATTGGGATTTTGGTGGAGTTTAAGGGTCTCAGTAGGTCTCGGGCATTCTCGGATTATTTTCAGGAATCTGACCTTCCTGACATATGAATCATATGGCAACTCTGAACAAATTGTAGTTCTTCTGGCTGTTTATGAGTTGACTGAAGGCCTTAGTCAAACATTTTAGCTGATAGCCGAATACAGCCTCCTGTCAACCTAGTAGTGGTTATATACTAGTTGCAGGCTAGTTTCTGGACGCCAATTTTTCACCTTTACGAAATGAAAGTGTTAACGTAAGCATACAGACAGAGAGTCGTTTAGAAATGGTGAGTATTCATACACTGCTCACACGAGAAAACCTGATATCTGTGGGACTCACACTACAACAAATTGTATAGACAACAAACAACGTCTGCACAATTTGTGTACGGACCACTTATGTTTGATTTATGGTCAAGGGTCACTCAGGAACAGTAAACCGGATCTCTTTCCTTGATCTAACTGATGAAACATTAGGTGAAGTCAATACTGTGACTGCACAAACCGCTTGGACAACCATGCTGAATAGGTTTCCATCATTACTAAACCCTAGATCATTTCACGCCTTGGTTTTAAGGATGTGCCACTATGGAACATCAGCCTGTTGGGACACTTCAGGGGTTTGTACTCTTCGTATGCATCAAAGGGTGTCATCGTCTGGATCCCGCTACTCAGTCAACCCCCTAGTAGTAATCGTATATCTATTTCGATACATACTTGTTATTCTGAGGACGTCATTAAACAGATGTTTACACATGATTTTCTCTCAAGAAGTCATGTTGATGTGTGCATAACCTAAACATAAGCAGTTCAAATTCGTGAACCTCGTTTCTTTTGAAAGTTGATGACGTAATATCCTGTTGCTTGTGAATACTTTCACCACATAGCTGTTAAAACTGCCCTGACTATCAACAATATTCCGATAAATGTCTCTCGAATTTGAGCCTTTTTTATGGTTCTCTGTAAGCCGCGTTTATGAGCTACGAGTCACTTTTCTTGGTGGACAGTTTTGTCGTTTGATGGACTCGTTTCTGTTTTAAAAAAATTTTTCGTGACGATCATACAGTGAACGCATGTTTCCTATTGAGACACAGCGTGGCAGATGTAATTCAGTATGTGGTTGCGGAACCAGCCCAGGTTTTAAACCTCTCATGAACCCTTTATATGCGAATAATAATAATGAATAGCCCTGATTTTCGTTCAGTTGCCACAACATATCCAATAGACATTACGCAAGATGAATATCCGCAAGAAACCAGGTCTTGAACTTTCCAACAGTACTTTTCCGGGGTTCAGACACATGACATATTTGCACTGTTAGCGGGGAGAGGAGAGCATTTGACATCGTTTGCAGAAGACGCTGTTTCACATAATTGGGCAAAATGACTCTTGAGTAACAGTCATTTTGACTTCTCGGTC